TTTAGATATGTCTTGCTAATAACTTTGAAGTTTTATTTCATTGCATTAATGTGTAATACAAAGTTAGCATAATTGATGAGTAAATTTTATCCAGTTTGACTCGGAAAAAACATGAATTAGATAATTAAGCAAAATGGACAGGGAGGGAGAGTAGATCTGTGTATTAAAAAAATATCTTACAATTAAAAAATTTAGATTAAAAAAAATAAATTTTAGAATTATTGAAAGGTGTTGATTACTCAAATATGCATTCATTTTATACTCATATACTTGGGAGTAATTAACTATGAAAATAGTTAAATGAGAAGAGTGAATGAAAAACTAAAGAAAAATTAGGATATTCTGAATAACTAGTGCATTTTATGGGGAGTGAAATGAAATAGTATTTGAGAGATTAAATCAAAGAATTAAAGAAATGGAATATAAGTATTAATATTTGGAGTCATAATATCATTTGCCAAATATGGAGTGGTGAGGGGCACTTTAGGGAAATAATGTAATATAAAAAGAAAATGGAGTGCAACTGGTAACTTTTGGAGTGCCAATATCAATAGCAAAAAAAAAATGGTGAAAGCTGACTCCGAGGAACCGGATACGTTATTTTTATTCAATGGGACTCTTTGTTTTGGAGTTTTTATGAACATTTACATTTGAACTTTTAAAGGATTAATTATGTGAATTCCTCGTCAATTTAATCGTCGATGATCGAATTTGAAGGTCGGACATCAGTAAATAAAATTCGTCATCAATTGATAAACTTCTATAGCAATACATGACATCTTCATCAAACTCTAAAAGGTATATTAATGAGTGCCTAATTAACGAACTGCAAAATCTCGCACATAGGGATCGTTGGTGTAATATTTTTAAAAGTTAAGATGCATTGGTGCAATTTTAAAATTCAAGGAGAATCCGCATAATTTTTGAAAAGTTCAATATTAAATGACGCAAAAAAACTCGTTTGTTTTATGTAATTTTTTTTCAAAAGAGCATGAGAATCTCAAGTTTGATCTGTGGTTCTTCTAAATGGAAAGTTACATAATCGAATCTAGCTAGACCACTAATTTTTTACTTGTTTAAAATTTTTAAAGTACGAGCATAGAATTAGGTGCACCAAAATGATTAGAAAATGCATCATGTCGAAATGCACCAAAATCCTTCGAATATACAATATCTCAAAAATCAAAATCTGAGCGCAGGATGCAATCTAAGCCACACTTGTTCCACACTTGTTCGACTACAGTTATTTACTTGTTTAATGCTGGGTTAAGAATGTAATTTCCTACCCGGTCCTCTCAATTAAACTCCTCCCCATCCTCACCTACCCCAACAAACCCTACGCCTAGTGTTCTTCTTTGTGAAACCTAATTTGAACACAACACTTGAATAATGCAAAGAGAAGTGCATATGAGGGAGGGAACATATTTTTGTCATTTTAATAAATTTCACACAATTACTTTTAAATTCTAAAGTATTTTTGAGTGTATTTGACACATGGAAAGAGATTAGTGGAGACAGTAAATTTTATAATTAATTAGTCTTTATAACAATAGTTTTCTATATTTAGTTTCTTATTACTCCGGCATCAAATACTACCTCCGTCCCAGAGTATTTGTCCACTTTCGTTTTTACACATCATCCAATACACTTCTTTAATCCATTTTATCTTGTAATTTGTATATTAAAAAAATAATAGAAATTATATATTAATAATCTATATGTTAAGAAAAATCGAACAAGATCACATATGACTATATTTAGGTTTACACATTGAGAGAATTTGATGAGTCAAAGTGCTTAGATGAACAGTTCCAAAAGTCAAAACTAGATGAATACTCCGGGACGGAGGGAGTACTATGTTAGTGATTTTTCTTTTATCAGTACCTTTCTTCAAATAATCCTTTTTTGTTCTTCTATTATGTTTGTGTTAAATTAAGAGCAAAATGCATAATTTCACATCGATACAATATTCAGTGATGTAGCCTGATATTGGATTGATAAACAATACAACAATAATGACTAGTATTATGACTAGAGGTGACATTTGTATAGTATATGATCATTGTAAAATTATGATTTTTAGCCCTAAAAAAATACATAAAAGAAAGACCACAAGCGTAATATTTGATAATAGATAACTAAATATAAAAAAAATATGTTATAAAAGACAAATTGTAAAATTTACTCTAACAGAAAATGTGAATTGGGGGGAGCAGAAACCTAGCTAGTTTGTGTTTGAAACCTAAAATAGAAGTAAAATATAGAGAAAAATACTAAAATAAGACTTTCATATTTTTATTTTCAAAATAAGAGTTACAATACCAATAATGTCAACATATAATATCAAAAAAATTCTAAAATATCAATATGTAGCGTCATATTGTCAATTGGGAATCCGAGAGGGGTTATAACACTGCATAGCAGCGTTACAAAATCGGTATACGAATTAACGTGAAGAATCTTGATAGATTGAACGAATCACGTAGTCGATTTCAAATTAAAGTTATTTCAAGGGTATACCAAAATATTTCAACCGGATAAGACGTTAGAATCTAGAACGAGTATTGAATTCTTCGCTATCTCAAACATACCCGAAGCCATCTATTTATAGGCAAGTTTTGATCGGGCGCGTATGTTGACGAAACAACACAACTATACGCAAAACATTCTAATGTTTGGCCACAACATTCAAATATATGTAGCGGTTATGTCAAACCTATCATTTCAGTGATTTTTGCATGAACCGTCACGTCTTATTGCGAAATATTCAAATGTTCAAAGCTAAACATTTGAATGCATGTATCAAGTCTTTTTGTAAGGAACCTTCATTCGAATGTATGAATTTATACATTCGAATGTTTCCTTATTTTGACTTAATTAACAAAAATCCAAAGGATTTGCACAAAGCAACAATGTCCAAAATAAATTTTCTAGAGCTTATCTGGATCCCAACTCAACCCCAGCCAGGGTCTTTGCTCCTTGGACCCCGCTACTAAATTTATAATATTGTTGAACGAGCTTGCACTTCGCACCACCCAACTCGTTACCATACCTATTAAAATTTCCGTTTGATCTAAGTAAACCCAGTTACACAAAATATCCAATGACACTGAAATCACCAACAATATAAATTCCTATATTAGCATAAAAATGTAGAACTCTATTTTAATATTTTTATTTTTTTATTTTTATTTTAGATAATTTCTTAATTTTTATTTATTAATTCCACACCAAACTTTATATAATTTAAATTGAATAATTTAAATCTATTATTTGTGTAAATTTAAATAACTTTTCATAATATTTTTCGTAAATTATGTAGAAGTAATTTAAATTTGGTAAAAAGTGATCTGACCTGATTTTGACTCGAGATTTGCCTTGAAATTACTAGATTTTGAACAAAAATTTGTTGACCGAACTCGAAATGACCTGCTGAAAATGAGTCAAGTTCGACCCGACCGACCCGTAAACTTAAAAGTTTTTTTCTTCAAAATCATGTACCTTAGTATGAAAATAATGTAATAAACGAATGTTATGTTTTTATTTTTTTCTTACTTAAAGTATAAACTTAATAACTTATATTTTCAAACAAGTTTTCAATTATATCAATAGTTACCTTTCATTTTTTAAAAATTGATACATATTATTATTTTTATATTAATCATAATATTGTTAAGTATACCTAAAAGTAATTAAAAATTCATATTAAAATATTTTAAGAGGTTTATTAAATGTATTTTGATACGGAGTATTTTATTATTTTTTAGTGAAAAATTCAAGTACTAATATGAATTGAAATAATTTAAAAATAAATCTCACAACCTGCTAGGCCACCACGAACACGATGAGAATATGTAGTTTTCAACTTCAACCCAAAATTATTTAAATCTGGTGTAATTTGAATCCGAAATGGTTGAATTTGAATCCAACTCTACCAACCAATTTTTAGTTCTATGTAGAATATAGGTCCTAATACTCCTATCGTTCTATAACTATTTATCTTCTTTCTTATTTGGATTGTCTCAATTTTTTCTTATCTTTCTTTCTATGAAAACAAATATAAGGCTCGTATCAATTCTCTTTCCTTTAATATTCTTTCCGTCCTAAAATGACCTTCCTAGTTTAGTGTATGAGGTTTGACTGAAATTTTTTTTAGTTCAATTTATTTGATTATAGGTTATATGGGGCAGAGTGTTGGGCGGTTAAGAAGACGTCGTCTGCATGCGACAGAGATGCGGATGTTACGATGGATGTATGGGAAGACAAGGTTGGATAGGATTTCGAACGAAGTTATCCGACGTCAGGTAGGTATGGCACCGGTGGAAGATAAGTAGCGGAAAGCAAGGTTGAGATGGCTTGACCATGTGAGACGGCGGGATGCTGACGCCCCTGTACAGAGATGCGAGAGGATTACGGTTATCGGGGGAAGTAGGGGAAGGGGTAGACCTAAGAAGAATTGGGAGGAGGTGATTAGGCATGATTTAGGACTTCTCGACCTGACTGAGGATATGGCCCTAGATAGGAACCTTTGGAGAACTAGGATTAGAGTAGCTGGATAGGAGATCCGTGTTGTAGAGGTTGTTTTGTAGTGTGTTGTATTTGTTTGGAATCTTCTGCTATTGTTTGTACTTGTTGCTTGTACTTAGTGTCTTATCTGTGTTATACTGTGTTCTCTTCCATATTTTTGTGCAGGTGAAGCCGGGGGTCTCTTGAAAACAGCCTCCCTACTTCCGAGTAGGGGCAAGGTCTGCGTACACACACCCTCCCCAGACCCTACGTTATGGGATTCAACTGGGTTGTTGTTGTTGTTGTTTATTTGATTATATGTGTAAAATTAAAAAATATAAATTATATATTTTAAAACTACATCAAAAGGTCTACAAAACAAGATGTGTCATGACTATATTATTTTATCAAATAACTAATAAAAATAGATAAAAAAAAGTGATTATAATTTGACCATCTAAATAGTGTCTATGAATATCATTTAAAGACGAAAAGAGTAATTTTGTAAAAATGAATAGAGAAATTCACGCCTCATTTCTTGAATGAATCTCGAAATATCCATGCCCAAATCTTTAATCACTCCTAATATTTTTTTTTATTGGGTATTAAGTAAGGGTCAAGAAATTTCCCACTATATATATACCCCTTCCTACCCCGTTTTATCTTTCTTTCTCTTCTCATTTTCGAACACCCACAAGGTACTGTTCACTCTTTCTCTATCCGTTCAGTATTTCATTTTATTTATTTATTTATCTAATTATTTACTTTCCTAGAAATTATTATTGCTTTGTTTTTATAGCATGAGAACAGTAGCGGCAATTCTCTGTAATATATATTTCTGGATATTTGGTTCTGTTTCTCCAATGTGTGTAAGAAGATTCTCAAATATAAGCTTATTTATGCAGTTTCCTGAGACGCTTTTGTAGAATTTCTGTTGTGTATTTGTGTTTCCTCTGATTGGGCTCCAGATTTTGAGTTCAAAGATGTGATTTCAAAGGAAGTTCTTGTTTGGTATGACTGTAAACCAGTCATCTTTGTTTTCCCTGTGAAATTGTATGAAATTTAAGGCCACTTTTGTCATTTAGGGTTGTTGGATAGTCAAAATGTTGGAGATATGCAGAGTTCCATTAATGAGCAGGCGACATTTTAGCAATGTCGCCGTTATCTTTTGCATATTCATTTAATGATCTTTGCAGTGTTGTGTTTAGGATCTGAATTTGTACCGGGTGATCTTTGAATTTACCTTAAGGTTTGTTAGTGTGCTATATACCCGTGCCCCGGTACAATTTAGGGTACCGGCGGATATCCCTTGGATGGAAAATTTATTAATGAGCATGTTTGGTAAGGGATTATTTGGAAGAAAAGGCTCTGATCCGACAAATTTTCTGAAAAGAAATGCATTTTGGTGGCATCCATTTCAACCAAATAAGTGGAAAACTACTTGTTATGTTGATAGAAGTAGCATAAGTGTGTGTTTGGCATGGATATATAATACATCACAATATAATTAATGGGACTTTATCTAAATAGTACTAAAACATAATGACTTTCCCAATGTAGTACCATATATTTTTATTTCCCAATGTAGTACTACTGGTCATTGTTCAAGTAAATGTCCACCGCCACTGTACATTGTTCAAACTAAATGTCCAACGTGACTGGACATTGTTCTCGCCACTAGACATTATCCAAGTACTATTTAGGGAATAAAAAGTGTAAGCACTACATTGAGAAATGACATATGTTTTAGTACTATTTAGTCAAATTTCACTATAATTAATGGTACTAAAAAAAAGTGTTCGATTGGCAACTTCAGCATTTAGCTTTAATCTTTTGAAAAGGCTATATTGCGGTCACATTTAACTTTCGCATTTTCAAAGTTAATATACAATTATGCACCATTTAAAAATATCTGAAAGCGCACCAAGCGTGTCCAAGGTTTCTCTTTGTTTTGGCATTCACACGCCGTAAGTGTGGTCTTGACTAATTAAATTTGGAAACACGCATTGCTGATGTGATGAACGTTGCTAGAGTCGTGCTGTAATTTCCATATTTTTTGTCCGTTTTTGGGTCATCTTGTAACCGTCTCTAACTCGATGACAAGTGGATTCTCTCTCACGCTGAACTCGAGGCAATAAATGCTTTTGATGACGTTAAAGCCCCATATTGTTATTTTTTAAAAGTACTTATTTGCAAATTGCATTCCAGTCCCTCCTTTGATTTTTACACTGTTATAATCACTTTGGCACAGCCTTGATTGCATTACACAGAGGACTCTTGAGCCCACATTTGTTGAGAGACCTTCTCGTGTTGCAAAGGGTAATGATTTTTCACAAGAAAGGGCATGGAGATAAATGCCGGAATTCCCAACTCAAAGGATAAGCTACAGGTGGAAGGCGGCAAAACAGATAGAGAAACCAAGAAGGCTTCTGAAAGTGTCGAAAATGCCCCTGTGTTTATCAATCATGGTTAGCCTAATCCCTTATATGGTTTAGCATTAGCTATATATATATGTAGCCAAATGTCTCCTTATGTTACGTATGTGAGCGTGCGTTATGTGTTCCAGCTGCCATTGCTTGGGAGGAGAGCAGAAGAAAATGGACTGGCGACCCTTCGGAGAAGCCAGAAAAGGTGGCAAAGGACCCGATCATAAGGTGATCAATTTTTAATCTATTACTCCCTCTAGCCCATAATTATCTTCCTTTTTTTCTTATTTAGGTCGTCCCAAAAATTTATTCCTCTTTCTTTTTAAGGACAAAAATATGTGGTCCATATCAAGTCTATTTTCTCTTCAAAAAAATTCTTGATTTCAATGGTTGGACTGTGAGCACTTGGTGTCATCTAACTAAAAATGTGGTGCAGTTGGACACTGGACTATGACGACTTGCTGTCAACTAATGAGCCTTTCGCGGAACGAATTCCCTTACCGGTAAGCAATCATTATCTTCTTCCTTAGCATAGATTCCTCAGCACTATTACACATTGAAAAATGCTACTTTAATTTAACCCCATGGGTGCCACCGTTAGAGACAACGATGCTCAGACAGTTGGTGAGACACTAGTGGTGTCAACCTTGGTGTGACTGTAGCATGACACTAATACATAACGTACAATATATGCAGGAGATGGTAGACTTCTTGGTTGATATTTGGTATGACGAAGGGCTTTTCGACTAAGCGGTGTTTGGTGGTAAGGTGTGTCTTGAGAGTGCAGACAACATAGAGTGTATGATTACTGTTGTATAAGATAGATTCTTATGTTCAGTTTATATGTATTATGATTGATAATTACTGAACAATTTTCAGCCCGATTCGGTTCCTGATTTACTATGCTCTTTCATGGAGTCTCAATCGACAATGGCTGCCTATCAAATGCCAAATTTGTTGTTGTAACCAAAACAACGACCCTACCCCAGTGGTTTTAGCTTTTAGGTGGGGGGGGGGGGGGGGGGGGGNAAAACTATTTAGAACACTAGTGAATAATTGACAAAAAAATCCCTTTACTGGTAAGTCTATAAATTAGAAGCACTCAAAAAGGGTCTAAGAACCACAATTGCCAAAATGAATATATTGAATTAAATTTATATGGAGTAAAAGGCTTCAGTGTTTGTTTTGGAAATGAGAGAGGTGAAGATGATCAAGCTAAGACCTTGTTCTTTTCAATATAGAGCTTGTGTTGTTCAATTTTTTCTTACTCCCTCCCTCCAATAAAGTTTTCGTTCACTATTCACATGGTTAAACTTTATTCATTTTGTTGGCTTATTTTCGTGTCTTATTTAATAAAATAATATAGTTATGTCATCTCAAGTTTGTAGAACTTTTCATGTAGTTAATATGTAATTTTTATTTTTAAATTCATACCATTTTTCATATAAAATGATTATAAAAATAACTTCAGTCAAACATCGTAACGCACAACGGAAATTTTATTTATGGATGGAGGGAGTATTATTTTTATTTATTCTTAATAAAATTAGATCAGATCAGAAACAACTTTAAATATAATTATAACCAAATCAAAACTTATTCCAATCAGATTAGGTGAGAGAAATAAGCCATTTTCATACTACCTTCGTCCTAAAAAGATTTACACGTTTTGACTAAAGTTGAAATTAAGGGAGGGCTAATTTTGTGTTGACTTTCCAAAAATACCCTTGATGTGATGGGTAAAAGTAGGATGTGATGTGTAGATTATTAGGAAAAAGGTATGATGTGATAGGTAGGGTTTGAAAAAGTAAGCGGTAAAAGTGGTTTTTTAATAGAAATGGATAGGAGATTGTGGGACGCAATTTTTTTGAAAGGTGTAAATCTTTTTGGGACGGAGGGAGTATTACTTATTAGGTATATCAGACAGTACTAGATTAGATCAAATCAGAAATAACTTTAAATATAACTACAATGAAATCAGATCATATTAGATTAGATCAGACGAGATCAGAATTTATTTCAATAAAATTAGAACCAATCAAATCGGGTTAAGAGAACAAGTCATAACACATGACCATTTTAAAAGTAATATTTCACAAAAAAATTAATCTCACTAGCTCAGATCATAGACAAAAAAACTTGTTTAATACTCCGTGAATAGGTTGGTCTTTTGATAAGCTTGAGCTCGACTCGAGCTCGCATTGAGCTCGATGTAAATTCAGGTGCACTCGAGATTTATGAAGTAAGAGATTCTCTCTTGGTTTGGGTATAAGAGAACCACTTCCTAAGATTTATGTGAAAACACCTCTCAAATTAACCTGATAATGCTCGGATAAAATATGAGACTCATTTTTGAAGTTTTCTCTGTGTTGGTGTTTATTAGTTTATTGTTGATAAATAATTTTTAATTTATAAGCTGCTTATAAATCAAATATTTTTTTGTGGGAGTAAAAATGGCTCAACTAATAGAAAAGTTATTTGGAAATATTTGTAAATAGTGAGGGATAATTTTGTAAATAATCTAGTTAAAATTGAGAAATGAGAAAGTTGGCTTTCTAAATAGGTAAGACCTACTTATTCTTTGACTTATAAGCAACTTATAAGCACAGAGAAACATATCATCAGCTGACTTATAAGTAGTTTTGATCAGTTTATAAGCACAGAGAAATACCCACTTTATATGGTCCAACTTGGACATTACAATTCTAGATAATTATAAGTGTAAAGCTTATCAAAACAATCCAAGCTATGGTCTAACTTTGGAATATTGTTCAAAAATCTTCAAATGAAACCAAGTTACTTCATGCTTATTAACAAAGACCAAATAATGGCATATGTTTAAATGTGGACAATAGCAAGATTGCTATAGCCTATAGGTACAGGTTGTGGATGGATGTTAAGAGACAATGACGAAAACTAGTTAATTAGGAAGGTTTATGTGCTCGTGTAATACTATGCAGGAGAGTGTAGCAGAAGTCTTGGCAATACTTAAAGGACTACTTAATATGGGCATAGAGTAAAGGTATATGCAACTTGCTGTCATGTGTGATTCCTAAGAGATTACCAAATAGATCCAAAGACAAATCACAACACGAGGTCCTGCACGTAATATCGTTGAGGCTTGTCAAAGTTGGATTAGGAAGGATTGGGATGCCACTATTTCTTATGTGTTGAGAGTGTTGGGATTTTAAGCGCGTAAGATACCGAAAAATATTGAGAACACCAGAAAAATGAGAGAACAAACACAAGAAGAATATATGAGAGGAAAAATTATATTTCCACTATTTCAGGACAATATACAAAAAATTCTACCCTGTTTACAAGACTAAATTTTAGACACTCATAAACAGATCTTTTCACATCCTATGCCCGGATGTATTTTTTCCGAGTAACTAAAACAAGTTACTCCCTACACTCACCCACACTCATCAAGACCCCTTGAATTTTCTCGGTGGTATTCTTGTGTAAAATTCTTCACATTTTCTCTCTCTACCTTGGTGGTGTGTAAAACCCACACACACCCTTGCATTAAGAAAACCATGGCTTTTTAAAGCCAAAAATAAACCGTGCACCAACAACCCATCATAAAAAGTCCAAACATGGTAAATCAACTTGATTCCCTTCAATCCAAAGATCTCTACATGCATGCATCAAAGGATTTTCATCACATGCCATGCATCTACCTTTATTATCTTCTTTGTCCTCTTCCTTATATTTTTTTCTTTTCTTTTGATTATTAATCATTTTCCCAACAGTCGGACAAGGGCGGACCTAGGGTGGTTGCAGTGGGGTCACTTGCACCCACTCCAAAAAAATTACTCCCTTCGTCCCTAAATAAAGTTTCTCTTTCGTTTTTTCATTGTCCCTAAATAAATTCTTTTTTTCCTTAAAAACCCCCTTTTACCCCTTACTTTTTCATACCCTACCTATCACATCATACCTTTTTACTAATAATTTACCTATCACATCTTACTTTTACACATCACATCAAGGGTATTTTTGGAAAGTCAACACAAAAATATCTCTCCCTTAAATTCTCAAAAAGTCAAAAATAGAACTTTATTTAGGGACGGAGGGAGTATTTATTAGTAGTAGTATATAATTAGATATTATATGTAGACTAAGGGCATCCAAGAAGAGTATATTTATATGTGATTAGGTGCTATATATTTTTTGAAAATGGAAGAGATGACACATTCTATAGTTGTGTAGAATTTTATGTTTTAATTCTTTTAGATTTGGAAAATTGATTTACCTTTCATTTTGAAACTTAATTATAAAATGTTCAATTTTTTTTGAAATGTATGAACAAGTTTAATTGTTTTAAAAAGATTCCTAAGATATACTTAGTATTTGAAGAAATGTCTAGAATTAATACTTTAGTTCTTTAATTTTTTTGGTTAAAACAATGAGCGTATTATATTTTTATACCGTATTTCAAAAATATTGCATATAATTTACAATATTAATCCCAGAATGCTATTTATTGATACTTTTTTTACCTTTAAGGTTTTAAATTTATTGTTATACAAATATCAACATTTTTTTGTGCACAAAATGTGAACCCACTCCCCAAAATTCTTGGGTCCGCCACTGCCAACAGAGAGAACATAATAGAATAGTAGGTATTCTCACCAGAATGGACAATCGCCAAGCAATAAATAGGAGAGACTTTGAGACTCCACGGAATGGTGAAGATCATGCTTTGATGAAGACAATGTGGGATGTCGTTGGTACAGGAATACGTTAGCGAGAAACCTCTCTTGAGGTCCTACGATTCTTTCCCCTCCATTTTGATCCAAAGTATTTTGGCATTACAATTCTTGATATTTAAAAAGGTAACTTCTTTTGTGGTTCTAAGGTCAACACTAATTTTATGAGCCTTAGTATAAAAACATAATGGATGAATTAGACTCTTTGAAAAAATAAAAGATTTCTATGTCAATCCACTAAAAGTGTGAAAATATTCACATTTTACATGTAGATCTTAGAATCATGGAAGCACAACTCATTTAGAAAAGAGAAATTTTTTTAACAAACAAGCCATTTTTACGTGGAACCCCAAATCGAGAGAAAATCACAAGCCTTTTTCGACGGTAGATACCCTGCCAATGAGGAGATTTTTTTTAAAAAAATTGGGATTTATACATGTACATAATATTGGCTTAAAAACTATTGATAGAGCTTGTAGCTCATTCTAGAGAGATTATCCCGTATTATATAAACACGAGAGAGTATTTACGATGATTGTGTTATGAAAATTGTAGTAGTTTGGCATCCTCATATTGAAGGTAGAGAATTTTATTTATACTGAGAGATGAAGAAATAGTTATGGAGAAGAAGATAATTGTGGAGATATTTTAGGAGGAGTGAATGGTAAATGTAGTTATGGTAGAGTGTTAATGTGGAGGTAGTTATGGTTGGAAATTAATGGTTGATTAAATACACCCTTCCAATTTTTTGAAACCAAAGTGACAAGGTCTGAACCAAAAAATTATACAGAGTATTATATATTCGGTTGTACCTAATTTTGTGTATAACCAAGAAATTATTTATGGTATGAATTTTATTTTACATGAGAATGAACAATAAGTTATTTGAGAATGAGTATTGTTTTGTTTCAGAATGAACACTACGTTATTTGTAGATGAATATTATAATTATATTCAACCAATATGTGAAAATGAGTACTGCATTATGCAGTATTTTAGAATGAGTATCACGCTAATTATATTTGTGCGAGAATGAGTATTAATGTACTTCTTACTTCAAAAATACGTAGTACTTCATATCTACCATATACCTTCTCGTCTGAACCGAACACCAGCAAGAGTTTGGTCGCTCCAATTAATACTGGGCACTGGCGGTTCCCGAACAAGCAAGGCTCACTGAGTAGTGGCGGTTCTGCAGTTTCCGATCAAAATGAAGCCCTCCAAATCTCCAATTCTTCAATCTCCTATCTGGCTTCTAGTTGTTGTTCTTTCGCCTGTAATCTCCTCCGCAAAAATTCGACTTCCTTCCAGTTCCAGCGTTCGGTCGCCGTTCGCGGAGAAGCTGATCCGGGAGCTGAATCTGTTCCCCAATGAGTCTGTCAACATCGTCGATCGGATCTCTTCCTCCGCCGCGTCCCGGAGTCCGAGGATCGTTGAGAAGCGGTTCACTTTCCCCAACTTGGCCGGCGACTCCGGCGCTTCCGTTGAGGATTTTGGTCACCATGCCGGTTACTACAAGATTCAACACTCTTATGCCGCTAAGTAAGTACCCCGAAATGATCTATCTTCGTGATTATGTTTACTTCAGTTTTAGTTTTTCCCCATCTAGGTTAGTGTGTTATCGACTTTAGTTCTTCACATTGGTAAAAAATGGAGTATTAATATACAATTCCTGCGGTCTGTTTGGTGGATGATTTGTTTGCAGTACTTTCTTCTTCTTTTTTTAATTGTCAATAAATGATAACTTTCTAAGTACATTTTCGGTCACTAATAATATAGTGTGCTCCATATTGAGTGTCTTACACTGGTCAATGACTCAATGGTGCCTAAAGTGTTAGCTGAATGAATTTGGATGGTTTTCCCAGTGCTGGAATTTACATGAAGTTGAATTTCACTTAACTCATTACTCACCCTATCTTGTATAGCTGTTTTTCATGAAGGGTCACAGAACAGTTCTTGTTAGATGCTACATTTTCCTGATTAAACTGAAATAATGATTGGAATGTCTTCACGCCTGCAGTATGTTCTACTTTTTCTTTGAATCCCGGGAAAGCAAGAATGACCCTGTTGTTATCTGGTTAACTGGAGGGCCAGGATGCAGCAGTGAGTTGGCACTTTTCTATGAGAATGGGCCTTTCAAGATAGCAAATAATTTGTCACTTGTATGGAATGAATATGGTTGGGACAAGGTAATATATTTACGTTTTAAAACATTATCAGTTCAATGATGTTCTGAGTCTAGTTGTTGCTTGTAAATGCACTATGCTTGATAGGTCCTTACCATCACTTGGAAGTTGATGATGGATTTCGGTGGCTATCATCATTATAAGCACCTTAGTTCCAACTAGTTTGGACTTTGGATTGATGGCATTGATTTTATGGAGCTATTTAATTGTACAAATTTGCCTAACACAATACATCTAAAAGCATAGTGACAATGTTTTACACTAGATGTCGTGTCACAACCTTCTTAGGGAATGATGAGGTGAAAATTTCAAATCCTTTCATCCTTTGTCACCGAGGTTTATTTCTGCACGCATGACATATAATGAGACCGAGATGAGTTAAGGTATTTGACTTTGGCATGTCCATTACATGTTTGCTATTGCCAAAGCAACCTGAAAATCATAGAATTTTGTGGTAAACGTAAATAATGATGATCATAGTGTTTCATATGTGGATTTACTCCATTAATCATCTAATTGTCCACTGCAAATTGTGCTAATGGACAATAAATTATATTAATGTGGCTTACTATGTTTACCTCAACTTCCACCCATTAAATTGTATCACTTCTTGACATATGTTTCTTCTACAGAAGGAAAATTGACATAATAATCCAATGTTTGCTTGACCAAACAAAAATATTCCCATTCTTCATTTTAAACACTGATATTCCCAAGTTGTCGCCTGTCTCACAAAAATAACCCAGGGACTAAAGGTGTTAGTTTTTCGTCCAAAATTGATGATGTGGTGTTTTTATTTGCTTTCACAAGAAAATGATTCAAATAAGACAAAAAACAATAAATTTCAGGATTTCATTTTTATATTTTAATGAATGAGAAGTGTTAGCAACTGAATACTTTTTCATTTCATTGTCAAATATAAAAATCTCATAATGTGCATGCTCAAATTAAAGTATGCGCAAAAGAATGAATGTGTGAAATAAACATTGTAAACCTGTATGTGTGCGTACACTAAACATTGTACATTCAAATTTATAATATAAGAACTCTCAAACACGAACAATGATGAATTCTTTTTATTCGAATTTGGCTTTTTAACGCTTTTAATTGTGCGACTATTTCTTTTAATAATTTAGTAGTTTGATTATTGTCTTGCCTTATTTAAATCTTTTTTTCTATGCAAAATCAGTGACAGTAAATTGTGCCTCATTAACACCGTTAGGCTCATTTTTTGTGAGGCACACAGAAACTTGGGGTGATTAGTGTATGAAGTGCAGTGTGGGAATTTTTGTTTGATTAATCAAAAGTTGGATTGTTTATGTCAATTTGTCTTTTACAAAAAGACAATTTACTTTGAACATTTTTTCCATAGGCTTCAAACCTTATATTTGTTGATCAACCTACTGGAACTGGCTTCAGTTACTCCTCTGACAGTCGTGATATCCGCCACAGTGAAGATGGTGTTAGCAATGACCTGTATGACTTTTTGCAGGTTAGTTATTTATTTCTTAAAGATTTGCAGTTTGACACAAATATCGGGGTCTTTGTCGCCTTAATTTAGTGCCATGAAGTTGTTTAATGCTCTGCCATAGGTTATCTTAACTTTGAAAATATTTATGTTCTAGGCATTCTTTACCGAGCATTCAGAGTATGCCAAGAATGACTTCTACATAACTGGAGAGTCGTATGCTGGGCATTATATACCTGCTTTTGCTGCAAGAGTCCACAAGGGAAACAAGGCTAATGAAGGAATTCAAATAAATCTTAAGGTAAATGAGTCAGAAACTACTATTGCAACTTTTTTTAACCAAATGTTTCATGTAAACAGAAATGAGTGTACAGGGATTTGCCATAGGTAATGGCCTTACTGATCCAGCAATCCAATACAATGCTTACCCTGATTATGCATTGGACATGGGCATAATTTCTGAGTCTTACCATAAAAGCTTGGTCAAGGTGCTTCCACTTTGTGAGGCAGCAATAAAGCTATGTGGTAAAGAATGCTATTCTCATACCAGTTCCTCCCTTCTTTTGTTCTAAGTCAATATGACTTTTCAACTAAGATTGTATGGAACTAAGAATGCTCTGAATTATTTTTATCTATCCAGGAACTCATGGGACGGTCAGTTGCGTAGCTGCCTACTATGTTTGCGAAGGCATTTTCGAAGCAATCATCACACATGCTGGTGGTATCAATGTAAGGAATATATTATGTCCCTATTTTAATCTACCAGAGTTTGCATTTTCATGGCAGTATATAATTACATCAACAGAGAATGCTAAAAAGCAACTGATTTAACTTCATAGGGTTAAGTTTTCAACTTCATTTCGAAAGCTGTAAAAAGATCTTTAAGGCCGAAGTTTCATTTTAGGACACCAACTGACTAATTTAAAGTGGTGGCAACATTTTTGAGGATATAACATTAGACATCTGATGTTTGTTACGTGCAGTACTATGATATCAGGAAACAGTGCGAGGGAAGTCTCTGCTATGACTTCTCAAACATGGAGAAATTTCTAGCTGAGAAGTCTGTTAAAGATGCTCTTGGGGTTGGGGATATAGAGTTTGTATCATGTAGCACTGCAGTGTACCAGGCCATGCTTGTGGACTGGATGAGAAATCTTGAAGTAGGCATTCCCGCGTTGCTTGAGGATGGAATACATATGCTCATATATGCCGGAGAGTACGACCTTATTTGCAACTGGCTTGGTAAGTTCTATTTTTCATTATTATCATTGATATTTTCATGTATAAGAGCAATGACCCGAAAGCCTGGTTTTCTATCAATTCGGGATCTAAAAGATGAAAATTACTCCCTCCGATCTTTATTAGTCCCTGCATAATTTATACTCCGTAACACACTTCTTCAAATGGGCTCAAGTAGGAGCGAGGTCCGCATAATTTGTAACACACTTCTTGGAAACAGTCTCTCTACTTTCGAGTAGGGACAAGGTCTTGCGTGGGATCCAACTGGGTTGTTGTTGTTGAAATGGGCTCAATGGTTGTTTTTATAAATATTTGTGTTGTTTCCTATGAAGCATTCATTGCCTTTTTAATATTGCTTGCTCCCAATAAATATTGTGATCGTTTTTTAGGTTAGACGTGAAATCTTTGAAGAATGAAGAAAATTGAGTATATTTTTCTTGGTCAAGTACGCCTAAATAACAAGGTCCAAAAGAGAGGGACCGAGGGATTATCGATTTTAGGACCCAGATGATTGAAACTATCAATCTTGGACTATTGAAAACCAATGAACAAATACTACATTGTAATTGAGTCAATATCATTCAAAAAAGACTATTAAAAACCAGCCATGAATTCAATGATCAGGTAATTGGAGATGGGTGAATGCCATGGAATGGAAGGGGCAAAAGGAGTTTGCGGCATCCTCACAAGTACCATTTGAAGTTGATGGATCAGAAGCGGGATTGCTCCAAAGCCACGGGCCTCTCAGTTTCCTCAAGGTTGATCATCCTCTTTATTTTTTTCTCCCCATTCTACCCCCGTGTTATTTGGTCAAGAGCCCATAGCGGCGATAATCACAGGCTTAACAAGTTGAATGACATTGCGAACAGGTGCATGACGCGGGGCACATGGTTCCAATGGACCAGCCTAAAGCTGCACTGGAGATGCTGAGGAGGTGGATGGCCGGCATGCTCTCTGAGACTAATATGACCATACCCCAAACCTTAGTCTCCTCCATTTGAGCTCTGGGGAGCACTTCCTGGCTTGCAGATATGTAACCCCCCCTGCCCCTGGTCCCCCGGGGGCGGGGGGGGGGGGGGGGGGGAGGAACACTTTGCTTGTAACTAAAGACTCTTTTGTTGTACCTAATGAAATTAGAGATGCGACTGTGTGGAATTTTAGTTATCAAGTTGTTGAAGTAAATGAAAAGATAGCTAATAGTATGTTTGGGAATATGGATTTGGATTAAATTTGGATTCGCTCAAATTTCATGTTTGGGAAACAAAAAAATTTTGAATTTGGATTTGAGTCAAATTTTTTTCATTTATAATAAAGTTTAATTTGAAATTCATGCACTTCCTCTTGTCATTTGAAATTTAAGATTTTAAATTTTGGAATGGAAATTCATGAATTGAAATGAAATGTTAGTTGCCAAACACTACCTAAAGACACTCTTAAACCAAGACACTCTTATTAATTTTGTTTTAAGCACTCGAGTGGACCCCGCTTCAAAATAAGAATGTGAGTGGACCTGCTAATAGAAAATGTTTATTTAAGAGTAAATTTCATAAAAATCTCCAATTATAGTTTGTTTTACATATTTAGTCCCTACATATCAAATATTACTAATTTAGTCCCCACTTATTATATTTATTTTCACAAATGGTCCTTTGTTAGCATTTCGTTAAGAACGTATATAAAATTGTAAATTCACACTTCTTTCTCTCCTCAATTAAGCTTCTCACTCCCCTCACACTCGTTTCCCAAACTTGTCGCTGAGTTTGAAGCTTTGAACCCAAAATGGAAATTATCACTCCTCTCTCAATTGTTTGTCTAACTGGTGGAACCCAAATTCGAAACCAGTATTCTTCATAGATGAGTTTAATGTTTATTTTCTTTGCAATTTCTTAAGACTAACCAATAAAACTCATCCATAAAGCTTATTGGTTTTGATTTTAGGTTCCACCAAGAAGACTAATAATTGAGAGAGGCATGATCATTTCAGTTTTGGGTTTAAGCTTTAAACTCAGCGACGAGTTTGGGAAAGAGTACGAGAGGAGGAATGAAGCTTAATTGAGGAGAGAGAGAAGTATGAATATAAAGTTTTATCCATGTTCTTAAGAAAAATGTTAACAAAGGACGATTCGTGAAAAATGATATAATAATTAGGGACTAAATTAGTAATATTTGATATGTAGGGACTAAATATGTAAAACGACCTATAACTGGGGACCTTTTATGAAATTTACTTTTTATTTAAACCCCGCTTAAGAGTGCGAATGGACCCATGTAAAATAAAGAGATGGCGTCATTTGCGTTCTTGCGGAAGTCATAGGTGAAGAGAAAAGTGGAGAGCCGATGATACTAAGCGCGTGAGTTTGTTTCAACCCATGATAGAATATAGGATGTGGTAAGGATAACTAGATTGGACTATAAGTTACTTAGGCTAAACCACGTTAAAAGGCTGAATTTAATTGATTACCTAATTCAACTCAAGAGCTTATATACCAATTTATTTTCTCTACAAGTTCTGATGTGGGACACTTTTAATACGCCCTCTCAAGTGGAAAACCAGGTCATTTTGAATCTAACTGATTGACCACTTTCAAATGAACTCTCTTTCCCTTGATTTTTTGACTGCTGACATCCTAAGGACCACGAGCCGCTGTTGGACCTCTAGATGAGCAATCAGGTTAAATATGCCACGGGCTGTTGGAATACCTCCCACTAGGATAATTGGGCTAAATACTAGGGCAGCTAGAAATGAATGTCCAGATGGATACCTTAACAAACGAGGTGGATTGAAATTTTCTCCGATATCATACTGAACAATAGAATAATAAATCTTACTCAAGGAATAAGGAGAGTATATATAGGAAGGGATCCTGACATAATTAGGACTCTACCCAAATATAGAAGTTAACTAATATACAAAGACTACCATAACTAGAAATACAATTACTATTGTCTAAAATTTTTTATTTTTTTTCAGATCTCGAAGACAGATGATGAAATTTCAGAAATTGAATGTGGAACTTCTATTGCAAAAAGCACCTTCGTTCTTTGTTGCTTCCATTCTTTAGGGTTGATGTTTATATGTAATTTAGTGTTATAATTTGGCGATGTAATTTGGAAGTGGTTGGTGTTTAATTTCATTTGTGTGTTTGATTGTGTTGTGTAATAGTGTGACTTATTATGTTTGCTTGTGCGTACGAGAGGTGTGCATATGAGAGGATGATTATGGTAATTTTGAAAGGTCAATGTCAAATTTCTGCTTTCATACATCTTTTTTAAAATTGAAAAATTATCATGCAATACCGGGCTCAAGTATTGGGTCGGGTTGGGTTTAATTTCAAAGATCCAAACCCGATTCGACTAAGTTTAGGTTCATGTTTCATTTTAGCGTTCGGGTTCACATAACTTTTTCTCAATTTTGGGTTTAAATATTTTATGATTCAATCGAATCAATTAAGTTTGAGTTTTAGACTTCGAGTTAGATCCTCATTCCTACTTGGAAAACACGGTAAAAGGAGTTATTTTCAAGCAAAAATATTCTAATCCAATCATGCTAGTCGCAGTGGCGTATCCACTTGCAATGAGTAGGAGGCAAATGTCCCCAACTAATTTTTTGTGATAAAGTTAAAAATATTCTTTTTTAAAATTTTATGTATATATGTCCCGGCCCAACAAAAAATTAATGTGATCCCATCTAATTAGGTCAAATTTAATTTCTTTGGTAAAGAGTATTTTATTGTATAAAATTACTTATTTATAAAATAAAATTTCACTTTACCAATTAAAAAATATTTTACATTTAATAAATATTTGAAATAAAACTTATTTTTTCATTTCAAATAGTTTATGAAAAAATTTCAGGGGCACTGCCCCTGGACTCTTGATCAATGTTGTTCCCATCTACTTCAATTCCTAGATCCGCCATTAGCTAGAGTTACATCAATGAGTGTACCTCAAGTTATACACCAAAAATATTCATTCATATTTTGATAATTCACACTGACTTAAAATATTAATCCCATAAAAAGATGTGACTTTCATTTTGTCTTGACAAAAAATAAATGGAGCATGCTACATGTACCCTATATTTGTACCCCAATTTGTACCCCAAAGCTTTAATCTGATATTTAATGTATGTGCAACACTGGCATATTATCAGTTTTGCACCTATATTTAATGTCAGAACAAAACATTGGGGTACAAAACGGGGTACAATATGGGGCACATGTAGCATTTTCCAAAATAAATAGGATTATGCTATGTGTACCCCAAGGTTTGTACCCCGCAGTTTTGCACCAACACTTTGTGTTGGTGTAAAATTAATTTTTGTTAAACGCACCAACATTTGTGTCCGTGTGAATATTTAATAACGCACCAACACTTGTGTCGGTGTAAACCATCGAAATATTTGTGCAAACCTGTGGTGTACAAATGGGGTATATTTTTGATGTAAGTGTAGCATGGTCCAAATAAATATGCACACCTCTACATTTTGGACTACAGTTTGTTGTGTACAAGAGTACAAGTAACTTAATTATTCTATCCACATAAAAAGAGGGTGAGGACTAAGGCGCAGGAAGTTAAATAAGAGATGCCAGGGAGTGGGTTTTCATGGCTCTCGCTCGAATATTACTCTGCTCGAGCTCTTGCCTGAGTTTACACAGTAATAATGGAGTCTTTGTGTCAAACCCTTGCAATCATTCTATTTTTCCCAGAAATTTGTCCACCAAAAATACCCAATTTCTAAGGATCAAAGAACACAGCTTGAAACGACCATCCAGTTCTGGAAAAGGTCATTTCTTTCTTTCTCCTTCTTCTTCTTCTACACTAATCGTTTGTGTATGTGATTCTTTCTGCTGCAATTTCACAGGCCTTCCAACTGAGTTGATTGAAGAGTCCAAGTTTGTCCCTTTAAATGCGGACGACCCAAGATTTGGCCCGCCTGTGAGAGAGCTTATTCTTCAGTTCTTATTCAAGCATTTCCTATGAATTGATATAGCACAACTTGCTTTCTTAGAATGTTGGGAAATAGCATGATTTGACTCAACATGTCGTAGTAGAATTTCATTACTTGTTCATCCTCTAAAAAATCATTAAATTACTTGGATCACAGGCTTTGTTGCTGCTGGGATTTGAACTAGAGGATGCTGTAAAGGTCATTGTTTGTTCTAAGGAGTGTAATTTCAAGAATATATATGTTTATGGTCCATTTGAACAGCTTTCTCTGAGCAGAGTTTTCAAAGATTTTATGGGAAAAAAAACCACTTAAAGTTTTGTGTCTGAGTCAAATTTGTTAGCTCCAATTACTGATTCTCAATATGGTCGTCTGCAGATAAAACAACTTCTGAAAGAACTTGATGGTGAATTCCTAGAGGTATTGCATTTCATTTTTTATTTTTTCCTATCTTACAGTTCTTCTAATCTTTTGTTCCCTAATTTTTTTGGGGTATATTTGGAATTCTGATATCATGAATTATACACATCACTTGTTGTGTGAAGTCTAAATGAGGATTACTATTTCTAAAAAAATGTATCTATGGGGGTAAATTCTTTTTCCTCTTTTTCCTGATCAAGATTCATTCTGCAGATCATATTCTGCACGGAAGACATGTTATCTCGCCCACTCTGGGAAGCAGTGAATACACAACAACCAAATTTTGAAGCTTTGAAGGTTAATGTGTCGTTTGTCCAAGTTTTGATTTTCTTCTTTCATTTTCACATTCTGGAAGACAGAAATGAGAAAGTGTGTTCGGCAGTAGTGTTTTTCTTTCTGTTTTTGAAGGCAAAACAAGACAAGAGTTTTTCGAAATATATTTGAAACAATAATTTATGTTTTCATTATATTCACTATAAATCAAACACTCCCTCCGTTTTTTAACTGACAACTATGACTTTCTTGATACATTAAAAAAATGAGTGAATGTAGACATGGTGTATGTCCATATCCATTCAACGTTTAATGTATCACAAAAGGCATAATGACCATTTAAAAGTGAACGGAGGGACTAGGGAGTACGCAGGATACAAAAAAGAGATCTGTCAAACACACTTTATAATCGCAGATTGCAAAACCACTTCCGAGGATATGCTTCATGTCTGGTCTTACCGGAGAGGAGATGATGATGTTTATAGACGCCTTTTCATCAACAGGTAAACCAACCGGGGTTTGATTTGTGCATAAAAAATAAAATCCCGAGTTTTTTTTTTATTAATTAAGAGTGTTGGTTTGGTTGGGTGTTATTATTACAGGACTTGAAGAATCAGTGTTTGCAGCCGTGGTTCCTAATGCAGCAGATAAACCAGTCGAAGAGCTGATCAAGGAAATCATGGGAGACCACCAAATGCTGGTATGTATGTATAATTATATAAGCTTAATGATGAACTTGCCTTGCATGAATTCTGATATCTACTCAAGTAACTTAACTATCATCATCCATTCATTTTGTTTTGTAGTCTACAAGACACACTTCAGAAGTCCAGAGTCAGGCTTTTGCTGCAGATTAAGATTTCCATATATTAGTAAGAAGACTAAACACACTTGAATGTGCTAATAAAGCTTGGCCCAACAAGATGGTCATGTGCCCATTGGTGCTCAGGTATATTGTCTTATAAGTGAAAGTATCTTTCGCCCAATTTTTACTTGACATCGTTGAGCTGAAGTACAAATATACTGCAAAGATGATTTCTCTAAATCCTTTTCCACATCCAAACTTGAGCAAAACACGCACACAAGAGAGGGCAAAGTTTGAGCCCCTTGGCATGCTAACACTGACATTTCTTCTCATTTGTCATGCTCAACTAATTCTTTTTCTTCTCAAGAGATTATAGCCCTAAACTAAAGGTATTGTCTTAGAAAATACCACCTATCTCCCCAATTTCCTCCTCCTTTGTGACTAAAGCCGCCTCTTGTTTTTTCACTTCTTCCAAAGCGATAATATAGTATTAACCATAAAAGCGATGGTGAGAATGGTTTGGGTGTTAAAGAAATAACCCATGGAGTTGTTTTGCTTGGTGAGTATGAAGCAGAAGACACCAATCCCGTAGTTGTATTGGCTACTAAAATTCCAGATTAGAAATAACTCTATATATAACAACAATCCGATTAGACCAAATCAGAACTTATTTCAAAAATAGAGAATTGGTTTCAAAGTGGCTAAACAGTTTCAAATCCTCATTTTTATGTTAAGAATTGATATTGTTCTTCAATTTTAACTAGAAATATGAATTTGAAACAGCAGACAATTAGATTCACAGACTCCCTAGCAATTGGGAGATTTTGCTAAGATGAAAAAAGTGAGTGAAAAAACAGGTATACTCTCTAAATTGGTTATTCCAAATTAAGAGACATGTAGGCTTTACGCCATTTTGAATGCTCAGTAAACATTACTCCCTTGGTCTTCTTTCATTCTTCGACACGATTTTTAATTAGACCCACACAAACATGGAGTCGAACTGGAACTAGGCTAGGCCTTAGGTCCTTTTTTTGCCCACTGCAAAATTCGGGCCAAACATCATGCCCACATCTGCCCATATGAGTGATTCGAACGGCCATAGGACGGCTTGGCCCGCAATTTCTTAATATATACTCCGTAATATAAAAAATATTACTCTCTGTCCCATTTTAAATTGTCTGTTTACTTTTTTTCTTTATCCCAAAATAAGTTGCCTGTTGTTATCATAAACGTTTAAGAGTAAAATACCTAAACTACCCCTAAAATAAGTCTCTTCTCCACCTTATCTTCTCATTCATCGTCACCCCTCCTAAAAAGTAATGGCAATTTCGGAAAATCAACTCTATTTTTTCTTTTCCTCAAATATGCCCAAAAGTCAAAACAGGCGATTTAAAACGAGACGGAGGGAGTAGTATCTTTCTAATATTTTGTATATTTTGTTCATATTATAATGAATAAAAATATTTGTATATGTGTGTTGTGTATATCTTTTTATCATATGAAGTTATCGTAGAATATCATAAATTATGAAAACAAAGAAATTAATTATCTCATGACAGATTATAATTGATTTAATAATAGTTTGACTTTAATCTAATTTAAAATTAAAGTATTATTTAATTTGATTTTAAAAATTGGAAATGGATACGGATATATCCGATATCCAACCGATATCCGACGGATGCAGATACGGTTTTGATTTTCAGTATCCGTCAAGATCCGTATCCGAATTCGATATCCGACAAAAATAAATGGATACGGATTTGGTAATGGTACATCCGATCTGATTAATATCCGTTTACACCCCTATTTTTAGGTCTTAAAATGTACTTCGTATTGTACTATGTATATAGAGTTCACATAGTACTTCAAATGTAAAATTGTTAAAAAAATCTTTCGATTATCGTTTGTAAACAATACTATCTAATATAAAGTTGCATTATAGTACCTTAACATCTTAAATGACACTATAATGAAGCAGTAGTACAAAGAAAATCAACCACAACATCAAGTTCGCAGAAATTAGTGTATAAAATTAACATCTTATGACTTGGTGCGACACAATGACTTATGTAGGCTACTCTTTCGTAGCCGTCTTCGGCATCTCGTGCCAAATATATATATATATATATATATATATATATATATATATATATATATATATATATATATATATATATATATATATATATATAAAGATTACATTTGGCGTGCCGCATAAATTTGATTTATTTTCCCTTTAAATTCTAGACATAACATGGAATGCACTCACACCTTCCTTCAACAATGTCTTGTTTAACATACTTTGAGAAAAGCATTATGAAAAAATAGAAGCACCTCGAAAGGTTCTCCTCGGCATTATAGTGAAGGCAGCAAGGAGTATTTTTTACCATGCCATTCTGGCCAGCCTATAAGAGTTGTTCTACTAAACGCGGTGAACTTTGATAGCTCATATATTAATGTCACAGTCCCAGTGCGAACATCTCCTAAAGAAGCTCCCATTCCCACTATTATTTATGTTTGACTTCTGCTTGAGTTTGCATCACAAACATCACTATTTTTGGTAAGCTCAAATGTCTCATACCTTGTGCAAGTGTACAAAACCGAATTAGTTAACTCTTTTGACACCTCAACCAATTACTCAAATGCATCATTCAAAATTAAAGGTTAAGAAGATGATAATTGATGTGGTCTACCTTCATTGATAGAACTTTCAATTAAATAAGTTTTGATAAAACGCTACTACCAATAAATAATAGAGCATAGTCTCTCTTTTTTCTAAATAGGGTTCTCTGACATGTGGCTCTCATTCACGTTTTCCTTATGACGTTGATTTGTATCGAAGATTTAAAAAAAAAACCGAATTCTTTCAGTTTCATAACAATCTCAATTGTCAATGCTGAAAGTAGATATTAATAAAAGGATAAAAATTTGGAAAGCTTGAGCCAAAAAATAACAAAAGCAGAAACATTGAAAATAGCTTGTACTTAAACTAAATTTCAAAAATAGAACCCACAAGCAGAATTGATACCCTTCTAAAAGATAGACAAACAACCAGATTCAATCACATTGCATACCCTCTTCCAAATAATGTGTGATATTACTTAGACAAAGAAACAGAATCATAACTTTGAAAATATATGTTACATAATCCAAACTTTAAAAATGGAACCAATAAAAAAACTGTATACTCCACCAAAAGATGGTAAAAGACCATATTCAACCTCATACTCAACACTGTACACACCATCAATAAAAACAAATTCAAACAACAATATGGAACAAAGATTCACAATTAAAAAGAAATCATTAATAGCTCAATCCCACTCCATACTCCATTTGAGCCCATTGTTACTGTGTGCTTGCTCCTATATCAGAACATACTTGGAAAAATAGTGAAGCCTACCAAATCAGCTGTGTGCCACCATTTGGATCTCCCACATAGTAGTTTGCCTTCAAAGAGGTTCTCTAAAATATTGCATGAATGAGAGACAAAGTTTATGGTTGAAATTTTGATGGGTAACACGGAATAAAGAAGAATTAAATATAAAGAGTAGATTGGAAAAGAATGTCTAACGGTTGTAAATTTCATATCATAATGTTAAGATGTAATGTGAGGATAATAAAATCCTACTGCTCACCCAGGGGCGGAGCTACTAAGGAGCAAATGACTGCAAGTGCAGTCACTGAAATTTCTTCCCCAAATCCATAACGACGTCGTTTTGGCGTTTTACCAAAAAAAAAAAAAAAAGAAAATCTGCTCTGTGCGGCTGTGCCTCTGTCGCCTACTTTTGCTGTTCACTTTCAATCCTCTTTTCCAATTTCCACCCGTCAATTCCCATCTCATCCCCAAATGCCAAATCCCACATTCCCACCCAATTACATCCAATTCCCACCCAATTACATCCACTCACTTCTCCAATCTATTCCCAATTTCCAATTCAATCTTCAATTCTTCAAATCTTTCTTCTAATTGTGCATAGTGCAGAGACGGAGACCAGCGGTAAATTTGTTTACGGGAACCGGCTGGTGACGAAGTGCGGCAACCAAGGTCGACGATTCCGAGTTCCGACCAAGTACAATCGTTCAGAAACAGGCTCCGATCTGGTAACTTAGTCTCAATTTATTAAATCAGCAATTTATTACCATTTAACCTATTTTTTTTTATTGTGATTTTCTTCAAATTAGCAAATTAATCTTATTTTCCTCAAGTCTGAAGTCTGTTGATTTTCATCTTCTTCATTGAAAAGTTATTTTTTTTGTTTTCTCATATTAGGCACTCGCACAGTAGTCAGTAGCACTATTGGTAAAACAAAAATAGTTTTTGATGAATTTTTTTTTGTCCTCATTTTAGGCACTGGTACAAAAAAAGCTAGGGTAGAGAACAGAAAATGAAATTTTGAGGGTTGAAATTGCCAAATTTTAATTGACAAATATTTTTATTGACAAATTTTACAGGTGAAAATATCAAGGTTGAAACTGCCTACTTCACAAACAGGAAATGAAAGGTAACATCCATTGTTTTGCTCATCAACTACAATTAGCACTTGTAAAGGCAGCTAAGAGTGATAGAAAGATTCAAGAATTTTTTGATATTCTTCAAAAGATGGCCAATGTTGTTAATGGTTCATGTAAGCGACGAGATATTTTTCGTGAAAAGCAATATGAAATGATTCTTGAAAGAATTGCATGTGGTGAAGTGCATGGAAGAGGTTCTAATCAAGAATCAAGTTTGAGAAGGCCCGGGGATACACGAT